AAATATAAAATAATTATTGCACAGGCCACACTTTATTTTTATTTATGTATTTTTTCCAACATAAATTCAGCAAATAAACAGTAATACTGCGTTAGGATGTGCAGAGGTGTTTCTCTCTAGAACAGAGGTGTCAAACTCAACCACGAAAAGGGCCGTATTAAAAATCTCAACAAATCCCTAGGCCAGCTGTGTTTTACCTAATTTTTACTTAACACTTTGCCATGACCCGAACCCTTTATTTATTCAAAATATGCCTAAACTGCAACAGAAAAATAGGCAGTCAGTACTTAAACCATTCAAAAATAATTTTAAATAAAAATCATTTGTTTTGTACAAAATAATAGGCCACATTATCTATAGATAACTGTGAAACCCCTTTAAAAGTCTCCTGGACGTAGGTTTTTAAAAACTGCCTATTTGCTTGAACTAGACACTGGACACCTTTTTTCTTTTTGTCTAAGCGCTGACCCATAGATTGTTGTTAGAGGAAGGGAGAGCATGTTATGTTGCAGTGCATGCTGGGAACTGTAGTGCAGCTCAAGGTGAAACGGACTAATACTAAGAGAAAATTTAAATAATTTTGTGGGCTGAAAAGGATTGTGCCACGGGCCTGACTTGGCCCGAGGGCCTTGTGTTGGACACATGGGCTCTAGATGACGTGTTAACTTATTAAGAGCGCCTAAACTTTTGCATGCAACTGTCCAAACGTTTCACCTGTTCATCCAAGGTTTGTTCTGAAATCAAGGATATTAACTGCCCCCTCTTTGACAGCCTCTGCCCTTCTGCAAAGGCTTGATGTTGGAACATTGCTGTGAGGATTTGATTGCATTCAGCCACAAGGGCATTAGTGAGGTCAGGTACTGATGTTGTCACTAATGTCACTAATAAGTCACTAATCAGAAGGGGTCACTAATCAGAAACTTCCCTAATGACCTCACATTGACTTCACCTTCTGCACATGCTGTCCATGAAGAGCACATTCATGGATGGAGACTTTAAAAGATCCCTGTGCTCACGTCCAAACGTCCCAGTCCAGCAGTCTGCCGCTGCACTGCACATGGCGAGCTTATTATATTACCTATAGATTCAGCTTCCTCATTTTACCAGAAGCATTGAACATTTGATCCGCAGGCAGGACCGCCGCACAGAGCCGGAGAGCTGCCCCCTCTGCTGAAGGTTATCACAGAACAGTCTGGAAATGCAGCAGACTCGTCATATCAGGCCCTGAGCCAGCTCGCACTGGGGCTGCTGTCTGTTGTGGGCTGATCAGAAATGGCTGTTTAAAAGAAAACACTACTGTTTTTGAGCCTCAATCTCCTACATCTGCCACATCTACAGTACTATGCAAAAGTCTTAGGCCATCTCAGAAATTATACCCAGAAATATGTTTTCTGAGCAGTCCACATTTGTTTGCTCAAAAAATCCCACATTACAATTAATAAACAAACAACACATTGTGATTTCTGTAATGCAATAGGTGGGGTGCACTGAGAAGTCGCACACCACACACTTTTAACTGTGCACTGCACCTCAGTCAGGTAAACAGTATGGAATATATATATATTTTTTTACATTTTTTGTACTCAGTGTCCCTATCAATTGGGACTCCTTCCCTCACACAGGCCCACCACGCATTTTCTTGTCTTGGCCCCCACTTATGGATGGCTGTGGCATCACTGGGGAATAAACTCATGAGCTCTTGATGTCAGGGTGACTGCTTAGACAGTTGCGCCACTAAAGCGGGGCCATAAAGATACGTTTTATAATTATTGTTAAAAAAAAAATAAAGAAATTTAAAAATTAACATAGTTGAAGATAAGTTTACATAATGTGAGCCACAAATTGTTCTGTTAAATATTTGATTTTTAATCAAATTTCAGGTCATTTAATCTGAATTTCAGGTAAGCTACAAACATTGTAAAACTAAATTTAAATAACATTATAAAACGTACATTTAACATATATGTCAAATGAGATATATATATATATACACACACACACACACACACACACACACATATATATATATATATATATATTTATATATATAATGTATTCTTCTAACAAACACATTAAGATGCTTGTTAATTTTTTTTACTGTATTTATGTTCATTTGTGTGTATTCTAATGCTATACATTGCTTTCTTTTTTTAGACGAATTTCACTTATATTTGAAGCCAATGGCCAGTTGCTTCAGCACCATTACCTTCTATCATACAGCTGTTTGCGAAAGTATTGAATAGCCCCAGTCAAATGACATATTTTGTAGATTTTCTAAGCCAAAATAACACTATAACACGTCATTGACAGGGAACAAACTTCAATACGCATTTTTCCAGTTAATTTTAGTGCACACTTTTTTGTTTTCTATTTGTTTGCTCAGTTTAACATACTGGGAAAAAATAAAACATACAATAATTAATGTGTGATAATCGTGTAATATTTTTATGTGCGACAAAAAAGTTTATTAAGAGTTAATTGTGTATTAAAATGCGCAGAAGTGTGTTCTCTGTAGAGGATGTGCTAAAGTGTTTTCCCATGAATCAACAAAACAGCGGCACCCAAGCTTTTGCACTATGAACCACTTTATGCCACAGATGCAGACTAGATACAAAAATGGAGTGTTTCTTTAAAGCACAGGTGAGTGAAACATGAGAGTCTGCTTTAACGAGAGACGGACTGGGTGCACAGCTCTGAGTGAGTGTGGTGGAAGGTGGGCTGAGGTGGGTATAGGTAGTTACATATGCTCTAGTATATTATATAATTCTGTAATGAAATATTATTTTGACAACTAACAAATGTGAGTTCCTGATGCTGATAGTAGTCTTACGGTTCGAATGTGCTTTTCGGTTGTGTGAGAGACGCAGGAGGGAACAAAGAAGTGCCTGTTTCGCTCTCACAGTGAGAGGAAAAGGTAAAAACGTCACGGTTGAACAATGTAGTGGGCAAAAAGCTCAATGCACTTGGTCATATCATTTCACTCAATCTAGCCAAACAGCTCGTGTCCGAAATATCACATTAGGTTGGATGCGAGTCAGGGTTCTCTGTGTGGGAGCAGACATGTTGTGCAAACCCACACTGCTTGTGTAGGAGTGAATGTGTTCAGGATATGTGTGCCTATAGCGGAGCTTCATTAGGTCAACTATGCAGATGAGCCTCCTAACAGCAGTGGATTATTGGTAAAATTATTAGGTCTTGTTTCACATTAAGTTATACATAATTGGGGATCATTTTCAGTTTCTGTTTTCGCTCATTAAAAGTACAGACAGCTGCAGTTTTGCTTTGACATTCTGCACTCTCAGAAATAAAGGTATGAATCTGTCATAGCCCCTCTTGTCACTGGGGTGGTTCCCTCAAGGGTACATCTCAGTACCTTTAGTGAGGGAACATAACTGTACCATAATCCATTGAAATTATATTTTCTAAGCTGTACTGACTCCACACACCCCGTCTCGTCTCCAGGCTTTTTATTTTATTGCTCTGTTTTAAAACATTCGGCTATGAAAAGGTACAAATATGTACTTTTCACCTGGAAAAACTTATTTATAGTACACAATTGGACCTTAAAACCACTGTTGTACCTTTGAGGGAACATTTACATGGTTTGTACCTTGATGAACAAAAAATGTACCTGCACAGAACCTTTATTTCTAACAGGGTGACACAGTCCATTTTACCTTTTTGTATTAAAAGAGCATTTTAAGTACCACATTTGCATACCACTGACAATAAAGACACTTCGTAAATTTGCTTTTGGAGAATGGCATTCTACTCCATCCTGGGTAAAAATCTCACTTTCACTCTCTCACAGCTGGAGCTTCAAATTCAAACACTGCTTCTTGAACAAGAACTGAAGGTTTGAGGCAATGGCAGCAAGCAGTGACTGGAGGACTAAGAAAATAAGGCAGAGCTTAGAACTGGTCAATTGGACTGTACCTCATCTCACGCATTCAAGAATGATGTGGAGCGTAATGATTTTATTGGCTATAATATAAAAAGAACAGTCACAAAAATACTAATTTTAATATCTTAACATGCAGCTTCATATTCTTTATTCATTTGAATGATGGGGCCTGTGATCATTCTCAGTAGGCCCCGAGTTACCCAGGCCTACCCATGGCTACACCCTCGAGATACTTCCCCCTCTCCCACTTCTCTCCCTGCTTTCTTCCATGGTCTCTACTGCTGTGTCCTACTAATGCTCATGTGTTTAGGTGGAACTTTTACAGTTAGAATAAAAATAGCAACGGAATTAGAGACAAACTGAAAAATACAGTGATCACTATAAACAGAGTTATGTAAGAAGTCTGTGAGAAAGCCACACCCCACACATCAGCAGCACTGAACCACATACACATTCATCACTCTGACATGTCATTTAGCCACAGGCACCTCTCCTCTGTTCTCTGATCATTTTGGAAAGATGTGTCTCAGAACTCCACGCCAATGAGCAGAATAGTAGATCATAGGAAGGCTGAGGGCATCAGTGCTGCAAAAGATAAGCAGGTATATCTATCAACAGCGCAGAGGCTGAAGGGGAGTCCTCTGCTAGAACACGCATTCTGGCTTCTGGACTGCGCTTAGAGGCAATGGTCATAACACTGCGGAAAGAACAACAGCCTGTCCTGCTCTCACATGTTCAAAGAAGCAGGAACATGTGCGTATTTCTGTCTTCGTGGGGTCTTTCCATGTGTTTTTGTATGTTTGTAAGTGTTGCTCTGCTTCACCAAACCCAGCCTTAAAGGAGAATTCCACTGATTTTTCACAACTTCTACAAAAATTAGTTGTTAACACGTGAACAAAGTCGTTTAGAGTGACCCGATGTGAAATGCTAAACTGTAGACAAACTTAAGAGTCAGAACTGTTCACAGTGATGGTGATAGGAACCAGACATCTGAAATTGAGCCATCACATGAAATGGTTATGAATACGCCGCCAGAGACTTTTTATGATAATTCTGAGATAAGCTTTTGGCAAGAGGAAATTTGTGAAGAGGCAAAAATAGTGAAGAGGCATAAGCAGACAAAGTAGTCGCCAAAAAAATATTTTATTATTATTATTACATGTAAAAACTGGTGGTTTTGGAGAAATACAATGGCTGTATCTGAGTTATAGGCATTGTGACCTCTGGTTCCTATCACCACCACTGTAAAGGAATCTGAGTCTGTAAACTGGAGCTGTGTCATAGACTAAGACATGCACATACAGCATTACAATAATCCAACCATGATGATATAAAAGCATGAATAATTCTCTCTGTCATCAAAGGAAGGCATTTTTCTGATTTTAGCTATATTTCTCAATTGAAAGTAGCAGACCAGTACGAGCTTTTTTTAAATGCATTGAGAAATTTAGTTCAAAAATGATGGCCAAATTTCTAGAATAAGGATTTATCTCTAAGGCCAGCGAGTCAAGATCCTTCCTTAAGTTGCTGACAACATTTTTGGGACCCAAATCAGCATTTCTGTTTACCCTTCATTTAACTAAAGAAAATTACAGGACAACCAATCCTTAACAGTTTGAATACATTCCATTAGATGTTTTTTAATCTACTGAAATTATTTTGTTTTACAGAGAGATAAAGCTGTGTATCATTAGCAAAAAAAATAAAAAATAAAAAAACTTAAGATATATTAAATCGACAAATTTCCCAGCAGGAGCATATGTATAACGAAAATAAAAATGGGCCAAAGACAGACCCTTGTGGAACCCAGCAAGAAAGATCAGTACATGAGGATGTTCTATCTCCAATTTTTCTACTGGATAAATATGCAGCCTATTTATCAAAATATAATGGTCAACAGTATCAAAAGCTGCATCAGCGCTCATTATCATTTAGGTGTCATTTAAAATTCTCAGAAGTGCCATCTCTGTACTATGTTTCTGTCTAAGACCACTTTTAAACTTCCCACAAATACAATTTTAATTTAGGGTATCGAGAAGCTGCTTTATTGCCACTTTCTCCAGAATTTTTGAGACAAAAGGCAACTTTCACCAGTCTATAATTTACATAATCCACAGCATCAGGACCAGTTTTTTTATATTTACTTAAAACAATCTGCGATGCATCCAGAAATAAGGGATACGTTTAAAACTGATTGTAGGTGAATAACCACAGAATCAAAAACCCTTCAAAAACTTTAGCCAGAAGAATATCATGAGGAGAGGTAGAGGGATATAAACCACTGTACACTCTCTTTAAAACCCCTCAGGGAAATAGGAGACCCCATTACTAAAATTAGGTAACCCCATTTACTAAAGAATCTATTGTAGAGAACAAGAACCTTGGGTTCTGTACATTTGCAGTTATCAAATCATTAAAATTACGTGGTTCTAGCATCCCTAACCCTCTTATTAAAAACTGACCACAGATCCTTCAGATACAAAGAATGACCTTAGGCCTACAAACTTCAAAACATTGTTTTCAGTTTCCATTATCCTGGGGACATAATTTTCATATACTGCAAATCCATAAACAAAAACAAAGCCATGGACACAGCATAGAACTCATAGTTGTAAGGATGTTATGGTTGCCTTATATAACCCTTGTCCTGGAGCTTGCTGTCTCTGATGGACTGAACTGAGCCCGCAGGTGAGCTGCTGTGTTTTATCTACAGCGACTATGTAAATGCGGTGGGCACCGGCTACGGCAGACAGGAATTTTCCACCCCACACATTTCGCTTTGTGATTTTATCTGCATGACCTGGTCAGAAGCCTTTATGCACAACCCCTACTATGACCTAAGCCACAGCAGAGGGAAGATTAAGCAAGATAAAACTGAATTATGAGATAATTATGAGACAATTCTGAGATTTTTATTTTGTGAATATACATTTGAAGCTATAAATCACTCAGTCCAGTTCACCAGCTGAAATTTACATGGCACAAGACTTACATAGTACAAGCGTGCAATTTGCAATGGATGTGTTTAGAGAAGGGTGATCAATTTGTAAAATATGTGTTGCAATACTGAACACATTTTAACTTCACAATGATATAGAAAGACATGAAACTGAATTATATAAATAGGCACGTCCAATTATACAGCAGTAGTACGGCACTTTCTGTACAGAAGTGATTGTCGCTGCAAGCTAGCTCACATTAGCACAGCTCTAGGCTAGTGCATGCATACCTGTGCTCTCACTATACCTAAATATTGCAGTTTAAGGCAGACAAGAACAAGAGGTAATCAGTCTCTTAACAGTATCGGATGTGGGCATCCGATAACATGCTGACACAGCATGAGAGCCAAGTTCCACTTTTTCTCCTCTGTGAATGTAAATGCACAGTATTGCGCTAGTTAACGCAACCCTTAGATACCGCATGAGCATGCTCCATGTCCTGTGTCCAGCTGCAGGTCATGTCTTGTCTGATTTTCTTTGTTGATTTTCCTGTTCCGTGGCACACAAGAAATCCCTGTATGCCGTCTCTTTAACAGGCAAAATGGACACTTGGCCACTCCAAAATTAAGGCTATAAATCTCTTTGGGATGAGAAACGATCCAAAGGCAGAAGTAGAACTAGGATGAAAGTTTGTTGAGGAAAAATTTCGAAGAGGTCCAAAGCAGGAGGTCATGGTTAGCCTGACCACTGAGGTTTCCAATGCAATCCGTTGCCCTAAACAGAGAATGGAAGACAACAGTTATGATCATTTGGAGTGATGAGTGTGAAGATAGCATTACTGGACTTTACAGTTCTGTTACTTTAATCCGTCAAAAGAAATGCTTTCATGATTGATGAGCTGGGAAACTGGAAAAAAAAAGATTGTCAGTTGTAAGTACTATTCTGACAGGATCAGTTTTCAGGACATGTTTGAGAGATATATAGCTTATTTACATGTTATTGCCACCCTGAAACCATTCCATTATCAGCTTCCAGTGCTTAAAAATAGAAAACACTGAAACATTTAAAGCAAATTCTCTTAACCTTAACCATCCATCTTGCTAGGTATCTTTATTCTTATTTTCACTGTCGTTATCCAGGGACTTTACAGCTAACCGTCAGAAGCACCCTGTTAAATCAAATTACTGGGTAGCACTTTTTTGTTCTACAGATTTTAGTTTATTTATTCAGTACTATTCAGAATTTCTGTGTTGTGTTTTCACATCATTAACATGATTGATATATTAAGGGAGAGGCTACTAGGGATGCATCGATACCAGTACTAGTATCGGGTATTAGCCCGATACCGTGCTCATTTACTCATACTCTTCCTCATAAAAAGCCACTGATACCAACATCCAATGCTACCAAATACCATGTGATGTAAACTTAGTGTACTCTGCTGCGCTAATGAACGAAAGACTCATGCTGGCAGTGCAAAGTCCATGTATGCCTACTTTACTCTGTTTGACTAAGCAAAATTTCCAAGTATAAACTTTAATAAGGTGTTTTTTTTTTTAATTATCTTCATAAAATAGGCTTTAGAGAAACCATATTGACCTACCATGTACATCACCGCCTGGTTTTAGCTTCAGTGCACAGTGCAGCACAAGTTCACAAACCTGCTCAGTTTCTCAGTGTGTTTGCTCGGTACTTGGATGAGCAGCAAGTTATTTTAAAAGCAACAGTTTTACTGGAAATTATCTACAGACAGAGCTGTCTGTAGAGGCTGTTTCTCATGTAGTATGTCAATCAGACCAAGCGTTTTGGTACAGTGTGAGTATGTAAGTAATAGGATTTGTTTGCACATGGCGGCTATCCAAATGTACAGTGCGAGTCACCAAAGAACGAAATTTCTAAAATCGCACCATGTAGGAGAACAAAACTATGAAACATACTTACAGAAGTACACAAGTGCCTTTCTGACATGGAACAAAACCTGATTTTTTCTTAACAACACTGCTCGATCCAAGGTAACTAATGTAGCATAGCTAGCACTATGCACTTCATGGTTTAACTGTTAAGGCCAATTTACAGTCCAGGCGACAAGCCTCGCTCAACAAAAATGACGTAAAAGAGACAAAATTTGTGTCTGCTAGGGTGTTACAGACCTCGTTGCGTACATCAAACTGTTCAAGAGGGCGCAGACATTGTCGCTCACTCTGAATGGAAAGAAACTCAAAGCTCCACGTACTGGACGTGGTCCAGTGGCCATGGTCACCATGTGCGGCTGTGTTTACTTTCTTGCTGCTTCGCTGCTTTCAGAAACAGGTTGCCAGCTATTCAGAACTAGGATCAATATACATTTCTATGATGATTTCTTTTTATTTTAATGTTTTTCCATGACTGTGATTACTTTAAAAGGTAGTCCAAGCAGAAAACGCACCCCGCGAAGGTGTAATTACCACCCGCACTGTGCTTACAGACTAACCGGCATTTTGGGGAAAAATGCGAATCTGGCAACCCTGCATGACGGAGAAAGAGCTTATGAGTGAAACACAACACGTGTGGAAAATGAGTAGTATTTCTGGTTGCCATAGCAAGCCTGTTAATGCAGTTTCAGACTGTTCTTCGCGGTTTCACTGCTGTCATTTGCTGTGTTAAGCCATACACGTTTTCATAGACACGCAGATGATGTTCTACTCTGACGTGTCGCTGGCGCAGGACTATGAAAGCCTACAGTGTTGCAACGTCTGTCGACACACTTGCCACCTAGACGAAAAATTGGCCTTTAAGGTACATTGAACTCGTTTACACTAACAACTACTTAATTCTAAGCAGGTCATTCATTATGGCATTGGAATTGGTAGCAGCAAGTACCTATAAATGTCTCAAAAAATGGCACTGATGCATCCCTAGAGGCTACATATACATCATGGCAGTGCATGACATACATATGTGTGTGTGTTTGTGTGTGTTTGTAAGGAGTGAAAGGGGGTTTAATGTCCGAGGAGGTACAGGACTGGACAAGTTTGGGAACCACTGTTCTATACGAATTAAAGGTACTTCCTACAACCGAATGTCTGTGCAAAGAACAGTACAGGAACATTCATCTATACTTTATGTGACATGCAGAACTCTTTTTGCTTTTGGAGGCCAGAAAAACTGATATGTAAGGGTTAAAACATACAGACTGTGACTTTAAAGTTATATTCAAAGAAAACTGATCATCTCAGATGAGATTACTTCATAGAGAAAGAGAGGCATTAAAGTTTTACTGAATAGTGAGGAATGAAAGAACTCCAGAACTCCTGCCGTTAACACCTGAATCAAACTCTCAAGGACACACAAAAATCACCAAACATGCAGACAGGAAGATAGTGAAAAACGTGCATTCCAGGAATGGAACCTGATCTTGCCAGAGTGAATGACAAGGTGGAGAGTGAGCGGAAAAGAGAGTGGAGCGCCCTTCAGACAGAAGAGAAGATACGGCTGATTAAAAAAAAACAAAAAAAAAACAGCAGCCTCCAACATATGAAACATGCAAGAGAAAGAACACGGTGAACAGAGAGATGGATCCTCCTGAATGAGGAAAGTTCTGGAAATGTGATGTCTGTGATCTACTTACTCAAAAGTACACGGCAGGGGCTTGAATTTCACTTGCAAAGCAGTCTAGCGTTCGCGTGGTGTTCATACACATCGGCAAACGTGTTTATGTACGACGGCAGCCAAAAAGAATTGCTTAAGGTTTGTTTTTAGGACCAAAAATGAACGCAAACTTAGGAAGCAGACAACTGAGAATGTTTAGCATGTTCTCCTCTAGTCTTGGTAGACCTTACACTGCTTTGTCAAAACACTTGGTGCACAAATGGTGTTTTTTTTATTTTATTTATTTATTTTTACAAGATTCACACAGCTGCACATGAATAAAATGTGTTACATCAACACAAATCTTACCAAAAAGACGGCAATGGTGTTGATGCAACGTGTTTAATTCATGTTCAATCACTTTGAACAAAGCACCATTTATTTCAATGTACTTTCAAAAATGTTTTTTAAAATGCTCCTTTAAAAGGAACCAGTTCACAGGAACTCTTCAGTGCTGTTGACTGATTTTTCTTCTCCATATATTTCACAACTAAAGCTGCATTCATGACTAAGTGGAAACTAGGACGTTTCTGACCTCCAAGTAGAAAAAATCCATTTGAATGATCATCCAACTCGTAATTCCTGCTCGGAAAGTCAAAGTTTCTCAAGATTACTCAGGGTTACAGTTCCAGGACGTCACTACAACTTGGCTGTGCCCACAGAACAAGAAGTAATACCATGTTTTTGAGCTTTTCAGGCTGATTTGTATTTTTTTTAGAAAAATAATTTTTTACAGAGCAGATCACTGAAGAGACGCCATCTGAGATCCAGTTTATAGTTCAGATTTGTGTAAAAATGGGTCAACTTTCAGTAGAAGTTTTATTATAGAGTTTTAAATTACATTACCCATCTATTTGACTGGAAAGAAGACAGTTACAGCTCTCATATGACACCCACCATTTGAGTGAAGCTTATAAAATATGAAATTTATGAAGTAAAGAATATGATGAAGTGCGTTTTGGAACCACCAGTGGTTCCACAAAGTTAAAGAGTTAAGTGTGTAGTTTACTGAGATTCTTTTTTCCCTGAAGCTCAAACAGCTGATGCTTTAAGGTGGGAAGTAAGAAGCTCCAGGTTTGAAAAGTCCAAGTTTCCAGTTGTCATAAATGCAACAGTAATCTCACAAGTTCTCACCGTAAATTAAATGCAGTGACTTTGTGGCCGCGTTATTACCGGCATTTCCTCAAAAAACACTCCTTTACTTGAGCAGTATGGCATCCTGCAATTTTTCTTGCCACATTTCTCTCTTTTAAGTGAACAGAAGAGAAAAATCCCCTTAAACTCATTTAAAAACAGCCACTCAGCATCAGCCTATGATATATATGTTGATGGTCAATTCGTTTTGACTGCCAGTGTATGTCAACGTTCATTATCAATTCATGAAGGTCAACAAACATGATATCAAAGACAAGAGGGACAAAAAAGGGGGACAATGATTAGTGACCAGCATGCAATCCCTAAAGAAAATCAGACCCCACGGATGGTGACAATGAACAGAGATGAAAGAGGATGACGAGAGAGGAAAAAGAGAAGAAGTGGTCAGACTGCATACGTTGATCACATGTTTTTGTCCATGGGGCGAGTCTTCGGGCCGTGTCGAGGGGCTGCTGCTGCTGCTGCTCTGGGAGTGGGGAGAGCCCAGGGAGGCTCGTGGGATCGCGGTATCATACGACAAGTCCATCTGCTGCTGGGGCCGCAAAGCACGAAATGGGGAAATATGTGTGGGAAAGACGCAATACAGATAAGTGCACAAGCGGACACAAAGAATTATTCAAACAAGAGTTTTATGATGAGGCTTTTGCATATCTCCGTTGCTAGAGAGTAACTAAGCTTTGCAACAGCCCAGCAACATTGGGATGAGTGAACATCTGCCTGCCTGTGTGTCTGCATAGGCAAAACAGTAAAGGTAAATGTATGTACTCACATTTCCTATTCCCTTGGTAATGAGGGCGAGCTCAGTGGGCTGGTAGACAGAGCTGCGGAGCTGCCCGTTGTAGTTGCTGTACGGAGACACTGGCCTATTACCTGACAACAAATAAAAAGACAAAGTGAAAAACTGATCAAAATACTGGTTTAGAGCAATTTCAATCACCAGTTGTTGACCAGCCACATCATAATTTTTGGGCCTTTTTTCTGCTGTAACACACCTGGAGGGTATTTGACAGAACAGCGTTTCTCAGTTTTGCTGGATAACTGAAGCCAAAAATTGAAGAAATATGCCTTAGCTCTCTTCCTATTGGAAGACTTCACATTTTTATATTAAGTTAGATGGTTATCTGAGAAATCCTGCATTGGTAATATGCCCTACGTGTGTTACGGCAAGTAAAACATCAAAATATGCAGGGCAGGGGAACTCCAGAGTGTTGTGGTGTCAAGGCTAGGGTAAGGCATGGGATAGACCAGACACTAATAATCTAAAAAAAGGGAAAAACAAAGCTCATTATAAGCGTTTCTCAACTTTTATTTTTATAAATATGTTTGGAAGTATATATATAATATGTGCAGTGGGATCCAAAAATCTGAGAACACACTGAAAATTTGGGATTGTTTTCATTGAAAGCTGCAACTAAACAAAAGAATTTTTAGAATTTTGAAAAACTGAAAACAAAGAAAAGTTACGACTCAGTAAAATGAAGAACAAATTAGGGATGCACTGAAATTTCAGCCAACGAAAATGGTTGAAAGTGGCACTCGTAGTTTTGGGCGAAAGAAAAAAAAATATTACGTAAGTTTACAATGAAGGATTAAAATCTACCACTTAAGAAATATTTTGAACAAAGAAAATAAGACATAGTGATCAAAAACTGATTATATATTCCAAAATCTACAATCTGTAATATTTTATATTTTTAGCAAACTGTTTAAAATAAAATTAATCTTCTAATTCTCAGTCAGTTCTTTCCCAAGACGGCAATTACTGCCTTTGAAGCAACGTCAGCATTATTACGTCAAATCAAAAGCATAAATAAAAAAAAAGCAGCAAATTACAAATAAATGAACCCCTTGTTTTGGTTTTTGGCTGAGAGCGTCCTGAATTTCAGTTTTGGTCAAGAGTTTAAATTTCATTGCATCACAACAGGAATATTCAATATTCTGGACTTTTCTAGGTCACTATTCAAATTTAAGCAAATTTGTGATGCAGACTATGCTTAGGCCTTTGTTTAAAAAGCATGTTCACCTGATTCTCATATGAAGTTCATATGACTTTGCTCCAGTCATCAGAAGCATTTGCACAAACTTGCGGGGGCCGTGTCTGCTTACGGTGGACAAAGATCCTGAAACTTTTCAAAGATTCTACTGTTTATGGAAATTGTTGAAAACATAATTTGTAAATAATAATAATAATAAAAAAAAGATTAAATTAGAAAAGAACACAAAATATAAGCATTTTCATTAGTGGTCTGTAAAAGCGTGAAACACCATCTGTCATATTAATTTAAAGGAATTATGCAGCTCAAAACCTGCTGGGTGTTGACTAAGCCACATCCCCAAACGTTCTGGAGTTGATAACTGTGTGATGTGCTATGCCATCCTTTCCTCACAACAAATCACTGCCTCTAAGCAAACAGTACTGTGCGTATCCCCTGACACCCCTGCATCAAACACATCAAATGGACTCCGCAGTGAGATCCTGAGAAGCAGGAGACAGACTCTAGGCTAAACAGGAGAAAGATTAGTAGGAGCTGCTCTGGGAGAAAAGTCTTCTTCCTCTGTGAAATACCTGACTTGCCTGATACTGTTGCCACACCTCGGTCGCCGTGGAGATGTGCTAGTGTAAACAGCGGAGTCAGAGTCTCTTCTGAGGAACAGATTGGAGCAGAGTGTGTCTGTTTTTACTCATGTTACACTGGGCTGGGTCCGCACACTTTGTCCTTTATAGACTAATGAGGGACAGTCATTTCACTTTGATCCCTATATTTCCCCACCCTGCGTTAGCCGACGAGGATAAAGATAAAATGGAAAAAATCCCATTGTCTGACTTCAAAGCGTGTCCTTTCTGTTTTCTAACTCACAATGGCTTAGCAAATATTAAATAACTGGCAATTTGCTATAGATAAGTCATTCATCTGGTGCACCGTTTTAACATTTCTGATGAATAAAGCACAAATATTTGCCATGGAATATTAGCTCAGTGTCTCAGCCCACAAATAAAATGGGCAGAGAGGGGGAACAATCGAAGAGAGAGGGAGGAAGAGAGAGAGGGGTTGTATCAGCAAAACACTGTAATCTACCGAATCTTGTCTTCCTGCAGGACAGATAGACGACTGAGTGCATTCAAACATCAGCATATCAAATTCAGTACAGTAAGCAGCAGGAATTCTCCACCGTTTTCTGCATGTTCCGCTCCTGTACCTCACGTTCTTTTACCCGTTCTATCGGTTCTGTCAAGTGAACCTGTGCTCAAACTCATTAACCAAACGCTGGAGGTTTCTGGAAAATGTTTTACTGCAATAAATCTTTTATGCTGAGCTAATGAGCTTTAAGTGTGTGTTTTCTTTGGTTAGTTAATCAACTGTTTAACTTTTGACATTCCTTTCACTTAATCACCAATATTTTTTTTTACAAGCATGTGGATTTTCTTTCTTAAACTGATCATGTTCTCTTTTTACCTTGTTATAAGACTGCTGGACAGTTCATTTGAATTTCTTGTTTATTATAAAGAACATCAGGACCCAGCATATTTGCAAGGACAAGTAATGTAACCCACGAAAAGCAGCTTATTAGCCATCAATCAAAGCAATAACAGACAAAGAAAAACAAAAGAGAAAAGGTTATCTACCTGGGTTAGGTTCGTCCATGGAGAAGGCCTTGTTCTCCATAAATATACTCTGGGAGCTCTGCTCTTTCAAGATGGTCTCATAACCCACTCCCTGGCTGGGGTACAGGTCCTCTCCAAAGCCTGATTCCGCCTCGTCCTCCTCAGTCAGAAAGCACACCTCCGGTATTGTGTAGAGCAGCACAAAGACCCATGCGTTGGCCACCAGCGCTATAGCCAGGGTAGGGTCATCCCACGTTGGGCCACCATATTTATTTTTCCCATAGGTGTACATGACGATCCAAGCCACCCAGATACCCACAGAGAGCAGCGCTGTGATCAGGATGAAGATGCCATCCTTGTGCCAGCGCTTGTGCTTGCCTGCTAGAACTGGAACAGGTGCCACGACGACGGCCAGCAGCAGGTTCAGAACGTAGATCAAAGCCATGACAAAGTCCTGGTTGGCGATGTTGCAAGGCACGGGCATGGCAGAGACAAGAGCTCCACTGACGTTAACAGAGCTAATGGAGTCGATGGCGTATATGGGGTACCGAACTATAGTGATAATCAGCCATTCTGTGTTGATGACCACCTCCACCAGCCAGAACGCCAAAGCTCCCAGGCACAGCACCCAGCCTCTGGGCCCAGAGTCCCTCCTGGCCAGCATGTTGAGGTTCACCGCTTTCATCAAGAGGCAAGAGAAGCAGCCGGCAAACAGCACCCCGAACAGAAAGCGCCGTGAGGCGCAGGTGGAGAAGTCCTTTCCCACGATAAAGGCGAAGGTCAAGCCGAAAAGGCCCAAGGTGCAGATAAGAAAGAAGGTGTCCAGCCCTACCGAGCTGCGCCTTTTTTTGTCCGACAAGAAGGGTAAACTGGCCAGGACCACCATCAGGAGGATCAGAGAGGTCAGCACTCCGGCAGAGGCAAACGCCTCCAATACGATGCCCCAGACGGCACTGAGGTCACACAGGTTGAAGTAGAGAGAGTTCACGTTGGAGCCGCAACCCTGCGGGGCCGCACTGACTGCATTGATGCTAAGTAGAGAGGGTAACGCTGATGGTCAGGGGAAGGAGTAAGGTCTGGAACCTGTGGACGAGGCGATCCATCTTTGATAGCACCTGTTACTGGACAAAACAGACGAAAGATTAGACGCGGGAGAGAATGAGAACCTGCTACTGTGCTTTATGACCATGAAACAGGTGACTGTTCCTCACGTCATCTTTACAGAAGAACCTCCTAACACACCCAGGGTGGGTTCAGCCAAAGCTAATGAAACCTCAACAATGACATCACTGCCGTTAAAACGTTACATGCTTGTACATGCTCTAAAGAAGGGCAGGCTTCAGTGTGTGCGAGTTTGGGAACAGACTGAAGGTCTCACTCCAAGGGCAGAGGGTGGTCACTGAAAAAAGGAATTTCTAACCTTGGAACTCATCCAACCAACTCTGTTAATCATTCATACCACTTGGGAACAACACTGACTTTTTCACCACAGGTTTCAGTGCATTCATGACTAAAGAGAGAGTGGGAGTCAACGTGTTTGAGAGGTGGAAAAACATAAGGATAATAGAAAGATAAAAGCATAAAAGTGTAGGAAGCAGCTGAGTTGAGCAATGTTTTAAGAGATAGACACACATACACTCATGCTGTTTTTACAGAAGGCTATTCATTTCACAACAATGGACACATTTACTTAAACTTTATTAAAGTGTATTTAAATAGTTTTGAATGTGCAGTACTGTGCAAAAGTCAGAGATCACCCTACATTTATTTTCCAGTCAAAACAGCCATTTAGTGCAATTAATTTTGGAAGAGATGTTTCGAAAGAGATTAGATATAAGATAATCTACTTGCTTAAGAAAGGGGAATGTCAAAGAAAGTTAAAAAGAAAAAATTTCTAAAACGGGAGTTCGGAAAATGGGACTCCTAACAACCGTGTGAGACCTGGAAGGCCACCAAAACTGTCACCATAAATAAATAAATAAACAGCACTTAAAGCTTTTATCTTAGGAGAAAATCAGGCTCCAGTCTTGCTTCAGATCTGAATAAATCCACAGGTGTTTGCGTCCATCCTTCCACTGTGAGAAGACAACTCAGCGCTACGGGCCTGAAATAATGTGTAGTCTATCTTTGGTCCATTTAAATTTCTAACTCAGAAAAGAAAACAGAGAAAAAATAGAAAACTTGCAAACAAATAAGCTGCTGGTGTTTCTAGAGCAATGAACTGGCCACTCCAGACCGCAGACCTAAACAACACTGAACGTTTGGGATTCCCTGTGTGAGAAGAAGAAAACGCAACCAACGTCTAAGACTGAACTTTGGAGGTGTGGAAAAATATTCCTGCAGATTTCTCTAAAAACATAAAGGCTCCCAAAAAGGATGGAAGTTACTGAAAAAACTGGCAAAGCGTGGACATTCAATACTTCCATAAAATTGTAAGTAAATTATATTTAGTCACTGAGGCGTCTGTGTAATTTTCTGTTGAACAGATGTTCTCTGCTTTTCCCTGACAATAAAAAATTATTAACTTGTACTTAATGGCCACTTTGACTGGAGATTAAATAAAAGGGTGGTCTACTTTGCTCAATACTGTAGATTTCTTGAGAGCACCAAGCTGAAACCTTCTACTAAATGTACATTTTTTACAGGTAACATTCCCCAATGAGCTCAAAGTCCAGTCAATTTCATCCCTCTTACCCAAGACTACGTCTACACTGTTAGAAATAAAGGCTCTGTGCAGGTACATTTTTCATTCTTCAAGGTACAAACAATGTAAAGGTCCCCTCAAAGGTACAACAGTGATTTTAAGGCCCAATCGTGAACCTTAAATACATTTTTCCAGGTGAAAAGTACATATTTGTACATTTTCATAATCTAATGTTTTAAAACAGAACAATAAAATAAAAAGCCTGGAGACGAGACGGGGTGTGTGGAGTCAATACACACTTTGAAAATATGATTTCAATGGATTATGGTACAGTTAAGTTCCCTGACTAAAGGTACTGAGGTGTGCCCTTGAGGGAACCACCCCAGTGACAAGAGAGGCACTGCCCCAGTGACAGTATAGGACCTTTTTTCTGAGAGTGTGGATGAACAACTACAGGAGATGAAACTGATCCCAAATCAGTTTCAAGCTGGAGGTTCAGAGCTGTTCAGAGGCTCAATACTCACTTATCTACCCAGTTAATGACAAACCAATGCATCTCGTGTCTTCTGAGCTGGGAGAAGTTAACACTCTCAGTCAATGATCAGTTAGAAGCGTTCCTGGGAAAAAGAACCAGCACTGAATAACGACCTGCACAGCCTCAAAGCAAACATTGCTTAACGTCTAAGCCTCAGGGTTATTCATTTGGTGGCATGTTGAATCCAAACAGTGTGACAAGTTCGCACAGACGCCAAACAGCACTGTTTGGATTTAGAATCGCGGAGCGGCCAAGCTCTGCTTCTAGAACCTGCAAGGCCAGTCCTAACACACTGCTTGACATCCAGCTAGACAATACTGCACTCTTTGGCTCTTAAATTGATGACATGTATGCATGCAAATCCGTGTTTCCTCCACTGCAGCTTTTATGCTCATCTTTGCTTGTTTATTCAAAACATTTCCAAAACATTTCATCGTCCCTTCCACAACACGGCCATAAATTCAGCATAAAGATAAGGACCGAATTCACAAAAAACACTGTGTTAACGAACTAAATTCTAAAGTGACCAAGACAAATTATAAGGAGCTCATCTGCAATTGTCTTCTTGTAGTTTCCATAAAAAAGGCACTTCTCAAATACCGTCAAATGAAAAGGATGGAGGCTCTACGGTGTTTCAACACATCCAGAAAGAGACATCCAGAAAGGTACTTTCTAGGCTCTTTTTCAATTTAAATGTGATTATTTTCTGTTAATTATGCTCCCATTTTGTTTCTTGGCCAAGAAGAACAGAACATCATTTTTTGAACTTGACATTTTTAACTGAAAATATTCTGCCAGAGCGTCGGTTCACAAGCTCTGCGTCAAAAGGGTAAATTTCCACACTTCCACACTTGTTAAGACAACGTTTAATTATGCAATATATTATTACAATTTCAGCTCCTGTAGCTTGAAAATTGCACTCTTATGAACTGCGATTTCAACATAAAATCGAAATCATAATCAATCAGCTCTATTTACCACAGAAATACCACCTACAACAGAAACAGCTGATTTTTTGGTCTCTTCAAGGACCAAACTGGACTGCACACTGGACCAGTGGTTCCCAACTGTGGTTCTGCCTGCCCCGCAGATATGCATTTTCCCTGCTCTAATACATCTGATTCAGCTATTCATCTCATTAAAAAGCCATTCCTGAAGACGTACTCCAGGACCAAGACCACTGGGCTAAATCATAAAGCTACAATGAGTTGTATTATTATTATACTATTACTATAATAAGCATATATTCACTATAGGTCACTATTACAACAATCAGTTGCAACTGCTTTCACATAACTGAGGCTTACGCTATCTTAAAGTGAATGAGTATGCATGTAATGTTGTAATTTTTCCCAAATCTATCAGAAAAAAAGCTAAGAACATCATTGTGATGCTGAGGAATAGCAAAAGTCCAAAGATAACCCAGATTCAAATCACCTTCGATTGACATTCACTCACTCATGTTACACAGCCTTTTATTGTGCTTACAACACAACAACAACAACAACAACAACAACAACCAAGTAATGTTAAAATATCAACGCGAGCGAAGAGCGATGCGAGTGAATCACTTATGTACACGAAAACAGTGCTTGACACCCTTGAACGAGTACGAGACCGTGTCGTTATTGACAGACCAGGCGGACCAATCACGTCACAAAGCCAGTGGGCGTAGCCAATCGGATTCGAGCAGAGGCGGGACCTTCGGAAATCTGAGCACACACCCAAACAGGTGAAAAACTAAACGTTGAAGAAAACAAATAACGGACAAAAGTTAGCGGTTAGCATGTTAGCTAACCAGCATACCAGTCGGGGAAAGGAAGACGAAACAAAAATAAACATTCATCTTGGCAAAATAAAGAAATAAAGCCTCTCCACATTTAGTTTTCTGGAGAACATAACGTTACTTAAACCAAATTCAGCAACACTGGTTAAGGTAGCTCAGAATGTACCCGCTGCACCGTTTAAGGTGGAACGGGAAAAGTCGAACAAGAAGCTGGCGAAGAGGAGGCCAACGTCACTTCAAATGTAGAGTAGACTGAGGGATGTCTAATGAAAGTCAGTCTACTGAAATAACACCGAACTTACTCGCTGCTGGACGTGTGATGAACTATCTCTGTCCGAGTCCGATCAGCGTTAGCCTGTCAGTTCCCAATCGGCGAATCAGCGCATGAAAATCTGGTCGACATCGCGACGCCGAGCTGCGCTGCTGAAGAGTCTCTGAACTCCGCCAAGAAAACTCTGTCTGTGCTCAGAGACTTTAAAAGCTGTTGGAGTGATAAAGGAGATGAATCCCTGCGATACTGAGCGATAATGCTGCGGAGATCCGACTACTGTGTTGCTCTGAGGTAACTTAACGACACGATGCGTTACTGAGGAGAGAGGCGCGCTGAGACTCTCTCTCTCTCTCCCTCTGACTCGCTCTCTCACGCGCGTGCGCGTGCACATGCACGCACGCTGCCACGAGAACGCGCATCTGTGAAGCCCAGCAACTTTTTTCAAAGTTAAAATGATCAAAATATGCCTTATTTTTAACTCACAGCCCTGTGCAAATTTCATATTCACACGGTGAAATAGTTCTTCGGGTTGATGGGAAATGTGTTGTACATGATTTTATATGGAATCTGTTTAAAAACAGTTCTATATTAGCACCATTCTTCTATTGTTACAATGCCAAGCTTATCACATCAGAAGAACCCCTTTTTGGTGCTATATAGAGACAGATAACATGTATATAGAAACATAACATGGGTTTTATATGGAACTATTTTATGCTTAAATGGTTCTTTGCATGTTGAAATGGTTCTTCTGATTGGTGAGGAATGTGTTGTGTATGATTTTATATAGAATGTTTTTAATAATGGTTCTTCTATTGTTCAGGTTTATAACATCAGAAGAACCCCTCTTTGGTACTATACACAGTCAGATTCTATTAAGAAACATGGGTTTTATATAGAACTACTTTATGCTTAAATGGTTCTTCTGATTGATTGGGAATGTGTTGGTCTGTATAGAACCAATGGCTCTATACAGTCCCAAAAACGGTTCTTCTGATGTTATAAGCATGAACAATAGAAGAACGGTGCTATATAGAACCATTATTAAAAACATTCTATATAAAATTATATACAGCACATTCCCCATCAATCTGAAGAACCATTTCATGCAAAGGACCCTTAAAGCATGAAGTGGTTCTATATAAAAGCCATGGTTCTAAACAGAACTGTTGCCTTTATTAAAGAACCATTGAGGAACCATCTTCTTTAAGTGTGTATCTTAACACTGTTTAACGTTACGATAAATACAATAAGCCTGAATAAACTTAAGTAAACTTCCTTGATGATGGATCGGAAATTGTTAACACACACATCAAATCATGATGCACTGTTTATTTGTTTATTTGTATGTATTCTAATGTTAACAAATAAATTCTTACTGCTCAGATAAATGACCTTAAAAATGACTCTCTCAGACTTTTGCACAGAACTGTATGTAGGGGTGTTGGCAGGTGCAGGGTGTAGTGAATGGAAATTAAGTTTAGTTTAGTTATTTAAGTTAAAAACTGTGAAATTAGAAGAGATATTAGGCCTAGTTTACATTTACGGCATTTGGCAGACGCTCTTATCTAGGACGACTTACAGTTTGATCATTTTACATAGGTAGGCAAAGGTAGTGTTAGGAGTCTTGCCCAAGGGCTCTAATTGGTATAGTGTAGGGTGGTATAGTGTATACACTATATAGTTGTGTCCAGAATGAGTAACAGATCTGTAGATGGTGCTAAAATGA